CAGTATATTCAATCAATAGTGTTCCATTTTTAAAAGGATACCATTTCTGTTGAACCTCATCATAACACCGCTCTGAACGATCCGTTCACGAATTGTACTGAATCGTTCCGAGCAGTTCGCGAGTCAGCACCACTGAACTGAACCACTGAATTTTTACTAGTAACAATCATTCTACTGTTACAATTCCTGCCACATTCATTTAAATATATGGCAGAAAAGGTAAGCGTAGTATGCTCTTCCGAATTCAGCTAACGACTCGTTGAACCGAGAGTCGTCCCTTTCCGACAACATTTGGAGTGAACAGTGCTTTTAAATGCCTTTTTGTTTTTTATGAGCTGAATCGGCTGCAACACACTGAACTGGGACTTGTCAACTATGTTTAATTGAAAACACTTTTTACAGCATGTGGTCATGCATGCCGCACAACAATAGCTGAATCAGTTGTTTTTGAATCGACTCTTTGAACTGTTCGAGAGAACCGATTTGCGGAAATGCGGAAATCTGATTTCCAATCAGTGTAAAGGGGAGGGAGATTTTTCTCTTCAGGGATTGGAAGGTAGAATGCCACGTGCTCGTCTACAGTTGCAAGCCCACATCATCAAAGTGCTTAACCATTTTTTTACTACCACTACTACTGTAGCGCCACGAGATATAAACAGGAGTGTCACGCCACTTTATAAAGGTATTTTCATGCGACACATTTGATATTTGTGGTTTTGCTAGATTTGTTTTGACAGCGCACATCCGGGTGCTTGTGTACAGTGAACATGAACTGATGCAAGCTGCTGGACAACTTAGTCTTTCTGATACAGTCCTCAATTAGCTGCTACTTTGTATAATGTAATTTCAGGCATTGTTAGTTTTATGAAAATTCATGCTTAATGTTTAAGAAATCTTGACGTTTTAATAGCGAACGCATACTTTGTTATCCCACTTAAGAAATTACATGTCGAGGTCTGTTTCCTTAAACTTCTTGGTAACATACCTAGTTGCTATAGTTACCTGTACATATTTGTATTAGTTTCATGATATTTTATTTTAATCACAGTATATGTTTTACACGTTTTCTGTTAAACCTCCAGTAAATCAGGTTAAACCGGTAAGGAAACAAATTAACAAAATGGTCTTGACAAGTTGGGACCCATTGTAAGTCATTCTTTGTTTGCTTGTTTTGTGTATTGCCTTTTGTGTACTTCTGCATTCAATTCCCTGCAGTAAATAGTGACATTATAAATGTCAAATCTTGTCCACCTTCACCTGATTTGCACCTGCTTTTATATGCATTGCTTTCATTTTTATGAAAAAAATGTTTGTAAAACATTGCATTAAAAAGTAACACATGCAGACTGTAAAGTACACTTGATGTTGCAGTGTACTGATAGTTATAGTATCCTCTACAGTACATTTCTAAGCCATATTGTTTGAGAGAAATTACTTGTTAAGGATTTGTGGAAACTTTGTTGATTTTTAACTTGGAAGACTGAACTAAACTGGTTATAATTAGCTCAGACTCTCAGGAGTCCATTTCTCACTTTCACTAGTCAAGATTATTGGTCAAGGCCCTGGTCTGTTTTTTTTCCTGATATCCAAACATCTGTTTACACAGCTGGCCTCACTGTAAGAGCCTTGGTTTTGACTTTCTTATCATAGCATTTGGAAATACACTGCTTTGTTAGATGAGAAACCAGTTAGTAGTAAAATTACACTAATGAAGAGAGCAAATGAGCTCACATTTTGAGCCCAACAGCACCTGTTGGAATGGCACCTTAAATAACAAAAATTCACCATTTGTGAATCAGAAATTGCATTTAGTTTGTGCCAAACATTCAGACTACTTTAGTCTCATCAGAATATGATTTTCATCCAAAATGTCACATTTGTTTTGTTCTGTGTCTTAGCATAATCTGTTCTCTGTAGACTGGAACTGGAAATTATCAATGCATTGAATATTTCTTGTTTTCTGTTGTTTTTCATTTAGGCTCTTTGGAAGGAGGGAGAGAACCATGGAAGCTCTGAAGGGCTTTGATATCGACGCCCCACGCTGGGATCAATCCACGTTCATGGGCCGTCTCAAACACTTTTTCAACATCACTGACTGTCGCACTGTTCTGCTGCCTGACTCCAGACTAGATGAAGCCAAAGCTTTAGTGGAGAGCTGCAGGTGAGAAATGGATTGATTTGATGAGGTGATCTATCTCTCATCTTCCTGTTTCTTACTTTCTGTCACTTCCTCTCCCCCCCAGAGCTGGCTCTGTTCCTCCTGGCACTACAGAGGAGCAGCTACACTATGCCAAGAAGCTGTATGACTCTGCATTTCATCCTGATACAGGTGACAGGATGAACCTGATAGGGAGAATGTCATTTCAGGTGCCTGGGGGTATGGCCATCACGGGGTTCATGCTTCAGTTTTACAGGTCAGTGCTGGAAATACAATTTTATTATTTCTAATATTTGTATATATTTTTTTATAATTATTTATAATATATTTATAATATATAATTTTTTATAACAATATGTACTATATATTTTAACA